TAAATACAAGATCATGTCATCTGCAAAGAGGGAGAGTTTTATTTCTTCTTTCCCTATTTGGATCCCCTTTATGTCTGCATCTTGTCTTATTGCTGTAGCTAGGCATTCTAATACTAGATTGAAGAGAAGTGGAGAGAGTGGGCATCCTTGTCTTGTTCCTTAATTAAGAGGAAATGGCTTTAGTTTTTCACCATTGAGTATAATGCTGGCTGTAGGTTTGTCATATACAGCCTTTATTGTATTGAGGAATGTTCCATGGATTCCTAATTTTTCCAAAACCTTCATCATGAAGGGGTGTTGGATCTTGTCGAAAGCTTTTTCTGCATCTATTGAGATAACCATGTGGTTCTTATTCTTGCTCCTGTTGATGTGATGAATAATATTAATTGATTTGCGTATATTGAACCAGCTTTGCATCCCTGAAATGAATCCTGTTTGATCGTGGTGTATGATTTTTTGGATGAATTGTTGAAGTTGATTGGCCAAAATTTTGTTGAGAAGTTTTGCATCAATATTCATCAAAGAAATGGGTCTATAGTTCTCTTTCTTTGATGAGTCCCTGCCTGGTTTTGGGATGAGGGTTATGATGGCTTCCTAGAATGTGTTCCGTAGTGAGCTTTCTCTTTCAATTTCATTGAAGAGTTGGAGGAGTATTGGTGTGAGCTCTGCTTTGAAGGCCTTGTAAAATTCTGCTGTAAAACCATCTGGTCCTGGACTTTTCTTAGCTGGGAGGTCTCTTATTGCTGTTTCTATTTCAGTGCTTGATATGGGCCTGTTAAGATAGTTTAACTCATCTTGGTTTAGTTTTGGCATGTCAATATTTGCTAGGAAAAGGTCCATTTCTATCTAGTTCTCAAACTTATTAGCATAGAGTTTTGAGAAGTATTCCCTTATAATGTTCTGAATCTTGGTTGTTTCCGTGGTGATGTTTCCATTCTCATCTCTGAGTTTATTAATTTGGGTGTGTTCTCTTCTTTTTCTGATAAGATTTGCTAAGGGTCTGTCAATTTTGTTAAGTTTTTCGAAGAACCAACTCTTTGTTTTGTTGATTCTTTCTATAGTTTTTTTGGATTCTAATTAATTTAATTCTGATTTAATTTTGATTATTTCTTTCCGTCTACTGGATTGGGGTTTATCTTGCTGCTCTTTTTCAAGGAGGTTTAGATGTGTCATTAAATTGTTCGTTTCAGATCTCTCCAATTTGTTGATGTAGGAGTTAAGAGCTATAAACTTGCCTCTGATTACTGCCTTTGCTGTGTCCCAGAGGAGCTGGTAATTTGTGTGTTCATTTTTGTTGAATAGCATGAACATTTTAATTTCCTTTCTAATCTCTTCCATGACCCACTCATGATTCAGCAGTGTGTTGTTCAGCCTCCATTTGATACCGGACTTTCTTTAGTGGCTTTTGGTGTTGAGTTCTAATTTTATTCCCTTGTGGTCAGAGAGGATGCAAGGTATAACTTCAATGTTTCTGAATTTAGACAAGTTTGCTTTGTGGCCTAAAATGTGGTTCTCTTAGCATTTTTGCTCAAGGCTGCCACTCTACCACTTGGACTACAGCTCTCTGCTTCTAAGGTTTTTGGGCTTTCCTGCTCAGGCTGTCTTTGAACTACCATCCTCAGATTTCAGCCTCTTGGGTAGATAAGATTACAGGTATGAGCCACTGGTGCCTGGCTGGTGACCTCTTATGTCATATGAGTAATGAAGCTGGGTTAAAAAAAATCCACGTGGGAAAATACTACACGAAAGGAAATGTACTCATTACCTGACACATGTAACTGTAATACCTTTGTACACCACATTTATAATAACAATAAAGTAAATTAAAAAAATCCAATGTGACTGACTACAAAGCAGTCCTGAAAAGGAAGGTAATACTTGTTATAGGAATAGTATTCTGTCAATGGCTAAATTGGATCAAATTGGATCAAATTCTGAAGATGAATCCAAAAGGATTAAAAAGTGTTGTTGGATAAGCACAGTTTTATTAAGGTTTATTTTTGGGATATAGCATTTATTTACATGTATCTAAATATATATATATATATATACATATATATATATATATACATACATATATATATATATATATGTATACATACATATATCTAAACATATTCATATGTATCTAAAGATATACATCCTAAGCAACTTATTGTGGTTACTTTAAGCTGAAATCCATGCTTTACTATCCTTTTGCTGGCCACATAAAATCTGAGCAAGAGGAAAGGATACTGTTATTGGGTTGAGTGTGATGCCTAACTCACAGGTAGACCTGTTATTTTTGGCTAAATTGTAGGTTAAAAAAAAAGGCACAAAAGCATTTATCTCAAATTTAGGATATATTTATCTTACTTAGAAATTGGATCTGTTGGGCTGGGAAGGTGGCTCAGTGGTAGAGCGCTTGCCTTGCATGACTGAGGCCCTGGGTTCAATTCCTCAGCACCACATAAGCAAAAAGAAAAAAGCCAGAAGTGGCGCTGTGGCTCAAGTGGTAGAGCGTTAGCCTTGAGCTGCAGAGCTGAGGGACAGCGCCCAGGCCCAGAGTTCAGGCCCCACAACCAGACCTCCCCCCCAAAAAAAAAAATTGGATCTGTTTCTAGTATAGTATTCATCAAAAAATATTTATAAAAGAGGCTTAATTGTGCAGGTGCAGTTGATTTACAGAGTGATCCTGTGGAATGATTAAAATAATCTGTACACCTGTTTGCCTTAATTAGCAGAAACGAACCATCTTCAAAATATATTTTTCAAGTGGTTATTTCTATTTTGGGTTGTTAGTTTCAAATTTGTAGAGTTTTTTTTTTATGACCTCTATTTTTTGAGTATACAAATCTAAGTTCAAATTCTGATGTGATCTAGTATTATAAATACTGGTTAGGTGTATAATTACCCTTTTAAAATTTGGCTGGTAAATTAATGAGAGCAATTGTTCTGATATTAGACTTCATCACTGAAGTTCAGGGAATGGCCATACATCTTCCCTCTATGTTCTTTGTGTTGTTGTTGTTGTTGGTCATGAGACTTCAACTCAGGGCCTGGGCACTGCCTCTGAGCCACACTTCTGGTTTTCAGGTGGTTAATTGGAGATAAACGTCTCATGGACTTTCCTCCCCAGGCTGGCTTCGAATTCTGATCCTCAGATCTCAGCCTCCTGAGTAGCTAGGATTACAGGCATGAGCCATTGGTGCCCGGCTGAATTTTCAATATATCTTTCCTTTCTTTTTTTTGTCTTTTTAGTGCTGTTTCTGGGGTTTGAACTCAGGGCCTTTTGCTCTCACTTTAGCTTTTTTTCACTCAAGATTGGCATTCTACTACTTGGGCCATGCCTCCAGCAAAAAACGCCAAGCTGGAGGCATGGCTCAATAGTAGGACATGGGTGCAAGGTCCCTTAGTTCAAGCCCCAGACTATGGCAAGGAAAGTGGAATATTTTAAAATAAACTTCAGTCAGGAAATAGAGAAATATGTTAGAATTTCATATTGGATTTTTGAGATGGGTATCACTATGGAGTCCAGGCTAGTCTTTGAATGGGAAGTGTGGGGATTCATAGCGCAACTGATTATAATAGGGTAGTCTTGACCTTGTTTAAGCAGTTAGTGAAGCTGGGTGCCAGTGGCTCACGCCTATAATCCTAGCTACTCCGGAGGCTGAGATCTGAGGATCACAGTTCAAAGCCAGCCCAGGCAGGAAAGTCTGTGAGACTCTTACCTCCAGTAAACCACTAGAAAACCGGAAGTGGCACTGTAGCTCAAGCAGTAGAGTGCTCGCCTTGAGCTGAAGAGCTGAGGGACAGCGCCCAAGCCCAAAATTCAAGCCCCACGACAGACAAAATAAAAAAAGAAGTTAGTGACTAGAGCTGGTGTGATAATGTATCTATAGTTCTGTTGCTGGTGAGCTTGAGACAAGAGGATTTCTTTTCTTTTTTCCTTTTGTGTGTGTGTGTGTGTGTGTGTGTGTGTGTGTGTGTGTGAGAGAGAGAGAGAGAGAGAGAGAGTTCTGGGGCTTCAACTCAGGTTGTTGAGCTTTTATTTTTTTCTTATCAAGGCTAGTACTCTACCACTTGAGCCACAATTTTACTTTAGGCTTCAAACTGTGATCCTCAGGTAGCTAGAATTATAGGCATGGGCCATGAGCACCTACATGTGCAAGAGGATTTCTTTTTTTTCTTTTGTCGGTCATGAGGCTTGAACTCTGGGCCTGGGCGCAGTCCCTCAGCTCTTCAGCTCAAGGCTAGCGTTCTACCACTTGAGCTACAGTGCCACTTCCTGTTTTCTGGTGGTTTATTGGAGATAAGAGTTTCATGAACTTTCTTGCCCAGGCTGGCTTTGAACATCGATCCTCAGATCTCAGCCTCCTCAGTAGCTAGGCGTGAGCCACTGGCGCCCGGCTGAGGATTTCATTTTTTAAGCCCAGAAGTTTGGGGTCAGTCAGTCTGTGTAACATAGGGAGACTCCCCTTTTAAAAATGAGACACTGGTGAGTAGTGTAGAAATGGACATGATTGGACAGTATATCCTGATTTGTAAATTTTTTGGGATAAAAAAAAAGCTCAAGAATGGTAACACTGGCTCACAGGGTAGTTCTATGTTTAGTTTTTTGAGGAAATTACAAAGTGGCTTTCAAAGTGGTTGTACCTGTTTACATTCCCAACAATAGTGCATTAGTGTTCCTTTCCCCCACATCCTGCCAACATTTGTTGTTGTTTGCATTTTTGATGATGACCAGTCTTACTGGGGTGAGATGGACTTTTTTTAAATTCATATTTCCTTTATGGCCAGAGCTATTGAGCAGTTCCTCCTGTGTTTATTGGCCATTTTTACTTCTTGTGAGATATCTCTATTTAGCTTCTTTGCCCATTTATTAATTGGGCTATTGGTTTGTGGAAGGCTTACTTTCTTGAGCTCTTTGTATATTCTGGATCTTCGGTCTTTTATTAGGGACTCTTCCAAAAAAATGCTGAAATTTGTTTAAGCCTTTCTCATTTGCAAATGTTTTTCAGGGTAATGATGATGCTTACATCTGTATTCATGAAGATCAGACTGTGCGCATACAACCTGCCCATTTGACAGGGCGGAGCCACCCTGTGATGGACAACCGGGTGAGTGAATCATGCCAGCCACCTCCCCCTGCCTGCCCTGTGCCCAGAGCCTCAACTCCCACTTCTTTTCCTCCCACAGATGGCAGCAGTGCCAGAGAGTACTTCATGGTTTGTTAGCACAGTTGGAGTCTTAGTCCCTTCCAAAATCTTTTATTTATTTATCTTTTTGTGTATATTTTTATTGTAAAAATGCTGTACAGAGGGGATACAGTTACAGGAGCAAGGTAATGAGTACATTTCCTATGGAGCGTTGTTACCCCCTCCTTTGTTTTTCCCCTAACATGCCTTCCCTCCCCACCGCTCCAACTCCTCCCCCCGCCCCCACAGTTATAAAGTTCATTTTCAACGTAGTGTCATGTACATCTCATTGTTGCAATGGGTCATCCTGTATCCTTATTTCAGCATTCTGTTATTTCCCTTCCCCTCCCCAAATTAGAAAAATGTATATATAAGATGCAAGGCACAGGAATCAAACACAGTGAAAACAGGGGTTATACCATGGAGGAAGACCATACAAAAGAAACAAAAAACAAAACAAAACACATAGTACATTATAAGTATATTAAAAACAACAGCAACAAAGATAAAACCTCTTGTGTCCCTATCTTAGGGTTCATTTCACTTAGCATCATCTTATATGGTCATATGTACATAGCTTTTGACCTCTTCTGCTTGTCCTAGACATATACTAGTTATTGCAAAAAAGGAGACCATGGGACCTATGTTTCTTTGGGCCTGGCTTACTTCACTTAATATAATTTTTTCCAAGTCTTCCAAAATCTTTTAGAGAGACAGGTTTCTTGTTTTTTTTCAATGTTGGCAGTACTAGAGTTTGAACTCAGGGCTTAGTGCTCACGTGGCCTTGCTAGCTTGGTTGGTATTCTATCACCTGAACCATACTTCTAGTCCAGCTTTTAGCTGGTTATTTCAGAGACAGAGTCTCTTGGGCTAACTAGACTGGCGTAAAACCTGGATCCTCAGCCTCTTGAGTAACTAGGATTATACTTGTGAGCCACCAGCCTCAGACCTGACAGGTGTTGAAGAAGAGGCTTAGTTTAGTGAGAAGGATTTCTTGGCTGGTGAGGATGAGGGATACATGATCAGATTGATGTCACTGGCAGCTGACTTGTATCTTTTGATGGTGCCTGTGCCATATGTGGACCATGGCTGTTGATGAAGTGGTTGTGGTCCAGATGAATGACAAATAGATGAGCTCCAAGTGGGCAGTAGCTCTCCCTACTATAACCAGTGAGGTGTGGCTTCACAGCTGTGTGAAGCTTTCTCATGGGCTCATTGCTCCACTGGCTTGGAATTCTCCCCACTTCTGCCTGCTCAGGCATTGCTGGGTAATTGTTGCTTCAGAGTGGGTGTTTGTATCTGGTGGCCAGATGGAGTGAGTACACTTGCCAGAGTGTCTCATTCGGGTGGAGGAACCTTGGAGTTCTGAGTTCTGGCACAGAGTAAAAATAATATTTTTGCCAAATAGGATAAAGACTAATCACCTGAAAGAGCATGTTTCCCATAGTCTTCAAAGAGGAAGTGGAGACAATAACTTTCACCTCCCACCTTAGAGGAAGGAAATTGGACCTGATGTTAGCTACTTGGAAAGCTGAGATATAGGAATTATGGTTTGAAGCCAGCTTGTGCAAGAAAGTCCATGAGACTTATCATCAGTTAACCAGTAGAAAGCCAGAAGTGGATCTGTGGCTCAAGTGGTAGATAGCTATCCTTGAGTGAAAAAAGCTAAGGAACAGCACCCAGCCCCGAAGTTCAAGCCCTAGTACTGGAACAAAAAGAAAAGAATTTAAACTAGCTAGAACTAGTTCCTCCTCCTCCAACTCCTCCTCCTCTTCTTCTCCTTTCTCCTTCTCCTTCCTCCTCCCCCTCCCCCTCCCCCTCCTCCTCCTCCTCCTTCTTTTCCTCCTCCTCCTTGTCATCATTGTCTTCCTCCTCCTCCTCCTCCTCTCTCTCTTTCTTTCTCTTTCTCTCTCTCTCTCTTTCTTTCTTTCTTCTTCCTTTCTTTCTTCCTTTCTTTCTCTCTCTCTCTCTTTCTCTCTTTTTCTCTCCCCCCCTCCCTCTCTCTCTCTCCCCCTCTCTCTCTCATAGCACATCTTTGTAAAGCACTGAGAAGTCCTATCTGTGTGTTTGCAGAGGCTTCTAGAGGATATGGCCTGGGGGCTGACGGATGGTGTTATCCAGTGTTCTTTCCGCAGAAACATTACCCTTCCTGGGGAGGAGAATAGGTTTGATCTAAATGCAAGCTACTACATTTTTCTAGCAGCTGGTGCATCCAGTGATGGTAAGTCAGTGATAAAAACTCCTGTGTGTGTTTCTTTCCTTTCCTTTATCATCTCTTTCTCAGAGACCACTGAAATTGCTCCTTTTAAAGGAGATATTTAGAGGTGAGGAGCTGTAACCCTCTGGGGAGGCAGGAAAGGGGCACCATGGATAGTAACTGATTCATGATTGTCAAGAAGGATGCTTCCTGCTGCACTGCAGCAGTGCTGGTTTACTGTTGCTCATCTTCCTTTCCCTCCCTCCCTCCGTCCCTCCCTCCGTCCCTCCCCCCGTCCCTCCCTCGGTCCCTTCCTTCCTTCCTTCCCTTTTGTTCTTTCTTTTGTGCAGGTACTAGGGCTTGAACTCAGGGCCCTTTAGCTCTTTCACTTAAGGCTAGCACTCTACCTTTTGAGCCACAGCTCCAGGTCTGGCTTTTTGATGGTTAATTGGAGATAAAAATCTAACAAACTTTCCTGCCTGGGCCAGCTTCAAACCACAATCCTCTTGAGGAGCCAGGATTGCAGGTGTGAGCACTAGCATGGGGCTATTGCTCAAGTTTCTAAGTGAGCCCGAGGTGGTTTTAGGATTTAGAAGACCACGTGGGCGGATATTGCAATGCACATTTGTAGCAATAGTTAGATCTGATTTAAGGGCTTCCCTAATGGTGCTTTGGGGGAGCTGCAGGAAATATTAAGGATAGTGTTTGGTAACTCATCTCTCTGGAAGGGATGACAGTGTCCCCCAACTATGGGAACAGAGGTAGTTGTTTTGAACATGGTGAGTAGGGGTGGAAGATGAGTACAAATTTGGTGTAGGCAGAACTGGGAGAAGCTTTGTCTTTCTATCCTTTGCTTTACATTTTCTATTGTTGGTGAAGTGCAGTCCCAGGGTACGATGTCCTGGGGTTTGAACTCAGGGCCTGGACACTGTCCGTGAGCCTCTTTGTGTTCAAGGTGAGCGGTCTATCACTTCACCCACAGTATGACTTCCGGCTTTTTCTGAGTATTTTATTGGAGATAAGAGTCTCACAGAATTTTCTGCCTGGGCTGGCTTAGCACCTCAGAGCTCAGCCTCCTGAATAGCGAGGATTACAGGTGTGAGCCACTGGTGCCAGATCCCTTCATCTATCACAGTGTTGCTTTTGTATATGAACAATAACTGTTAGTATTTAATTATTTTTTCATTACTGTAAGACATCTTTCTTCTATTCTATGCCCATCCCTTAAGTCCTCCTCCCTGAGGAAGTAATATTTCTTTCTCATCTTTAGGTAAAATTTCTAAACACTCTAAGCAACCCTTGATTACATATGAAAAATATGATGTGACAGGTTCTGCAAAGAACGTAGGAGGCTCTCGGTCTTCACTGCTCTTGAAGGCTCATGGTGAGTTACTTGGCTGGGGTTATTGGTATTATGACTTTATGGACTAAACTTTGTTTCTCACCCGGTGTTGGCTGGATTAGGGACACTTCTCAGCAAAAAAAACCAAAAACAAGTTAACATAAATCTGATACGTTTAACCTTTGCAGGTAGGAATGTTTGCTAAGTTTATTCAAAATAGAAAGTAGGTCTAATTCTGCCATTTTAAACCTGGGTTCTTATTGAAATCAGCAATGGGACATTTGACACATCTGTAGTTTTAATATAATATCCCAGTTGTTTCCCTCCCTCCCTCCCTCCTTCCCTCCCTCCCTCCTTCCCTTCTCTCCCTCCCTCCTTCTCTCCCTCCCTCCTTCTCTCCTTCCCTCCTTCTCTCCCTCCCTCCTTCTCTCCCTCCCTCCTTCTCTCCCTCCCTTCCTTCCTTCCTTCCTTCCTCCCTCCCTCCCTCCCTCCCTTCCTTCCTTCCTTCCTTTCTTCCTTCCTTCTTCTCTTTCTCTTTCTTTCTTTTCCTTATTTTTTTAAAATTGTTTTAAGGATACCAGGATTTGAACTTGATCTTGCTTTTGGTTTGACTTGCTTGTTGTGCAGTCTGGTGTCCTACCACTTCAGCTCTCTTTTCAGTCCTGCGTTTTGCTGATTGGTTTGGAGATGTAATCTGAGGAGGTTTCTTTCCAGGCCGGTTTCCAGCTGTGATTGTCTTGATCTCGGCCTCCTGAGTTTTTTTTTTTTTTTTTTATTGTGAAAATACTGTACAGAGGGGTTACAATTACATGGGCAAGATAATGAGTACATCTCTTATCAAGCATTGTAGCCTCCTCCTTAATTGCAGTTGTTTCTAACTATAGCTGGGATTAAATAGCCCTGGGTTAATTTATTTAACTTTTATGAGATCTTAATTTTTTTTTTTGCAATTTCTTAAAATAAAGGCTATTTTTTTTAGAACAGTTGTCTTTAGTCTTGATGTTCATTGATGATAGTAGTTTGGTTTCAGAAGTACAATTTTATGTGAAGCTCGATCAAGTTTCAAGTGTCTGAGGTTGTCCTTGGTGGTTAGTGCAGTTCTTAGGGATTGATTATCTAAATGAGGACCCACACAAAGCTGGAAGAGCTTTTTTGTATCATGGACACAGGCTCTCATGTGCTCTGCTTCTGTCAGTAAAGCTTGGTTCCGTCTGAAATGCTGGCCGAAGGTTAAAAAGATAGGATTTAGAAGTAGGGAAATAGTGGAGTATAAACTATTCTATTTTAAAACATTAATATTTGGGAGGAATTTTCATTTTTTTTTAATTTTTATTGTGAAAATACTGTATAAAGGGGTTACAATTGCATGGGCAAGATAATGAGTACATTTCTTATCAAGCATTGTAGCCTCCTCCTTTGTTTCCCCTTCCCATCCCTTCCCATCCTCCCTCCACCCCGTCACCCAATCCTCCTCCCCACCCCCCACCAAAGTTGTAAAGTTCGTTTTTCCACATAATGACTTGTACATCTCATTGATGCAATGGATCCACCTGTATTCCTATTTAAGTGATTTGTTTTTTTCCCTTTCCCTCCACAAATTATACCAACCTCAAATACAGTGAAAGCAGGGGTTATACCATGGGGGAGGGACATACGAAGCAACAAAGAAATAATCTTATAAATGTGTTAGAAACAATCACCTGAAAGAAAAAAAAAACATTTTAATACATATCTTAGGGTTCATTTCCCTAACATCAAATTTTCATTATTTATTATTTTTACATTCTTCAGGGTCATCCATTTCTCCCATTGGCTGATAGATTCCATAAATATTGCCACAGTTAAGCTTGAAAATGGCTTTAGTGTGCCGCATATGGTGATGAATGCCTTTAATCCCAACCAAAGCAAGACGATAATGATGAGTTTGAAGTTAGCCTGGCCTACAGAGTGAGATCCTTTCTCAAGACAGAAACAAAAACAAAAAAGAAACCCCAAACAAACACCTACAGTCAAAACCCAAAACGAAGGGGACAGAAACTTATGGTCAATTTAATTCTCCAGGTCCTCCAGTTGGTCAGGAATTGGATCTGGGGATCATGAGCTTGTTTTTCATTGTTTCTTGAAATCAGACATGAGGAGGCTCAATTTGACTAATTCATCTAGGGCACTTAGGGTTACCATGCACGTGGTGAAGGGCTGTAGTCTGAAGCTGTTGTGGTACTTCAGGAACATGTAGGTCATTCCCAGCATAGCTGGCCAGCTGTGTTTTCTGAGTCATTTTGTCATTGAGAAAGCAGCTTAATTTGTGGTGTCAATCCATTTACTCTTCTCACTTGTAGGTGCGCTCATGTGTATGGCCTGGATGACTACAGTTAGCACAGGTGTATTGGTTGCCCGATTTTTCAAGTCTGTTTGGTCCAAAGCTTTCTTGCTCAGAGAAGCAGCTTGGTTTCAGGTAGGTGAGGAGAGAAAGCTTAATTTCTGTGTTATTTGAACTTTTTCACCTGAACGATGTCTGCTTGTGTTGTTATTTTTTTTCTTTTCTTTTCTTTTTGGGTCCTGTTGTGGGGCCTGACCTCTGGGCCTGGGCACTGTCCCTCAGCTCTTCAGCTCAAGGCTAGCGCTCTACCACTTGAGCCACAGCGCCACTTCTGGCTTTTTTCTTTTTGCTTATGTGGTGCTGAGGAATTGGACCCAGGGCCTCAGGCATGCAAGGCAAGCACTCTACTACTGAGCCACCTTCCCAGCCCCTGTGTTGTTCTATCTGATTAAAGCTTTTATAGATTTCAGATCCTTTTTGTAGCAAACAAGCCTTTTGCTTTTATGGTTTTATTTATTTATTTTTATGCTTGAATCTCATGCTCTTGTTTGGCTTTTTTTTTTTTTTTTTTTGCGCTTTAGTGCTTGAGCCATAGCTCTCCTTTTCAGCTTTTTTGGTGGCTAATTGGAGATAAGAGCTTTATGGACTTGCCTGACCCCGCTGGTTTTGAACTACAATCCTTAGATCTTAGCCTCCTGAATAGCTAGGATTACAGATGTGAGCCATAGGCACCCAACCAGGCACAAGATTGTTCATGGAGGTCTAAATACAGACAGGTTTGTGAAGAGGCAGGCTTCACTGGAAACTGGGTTAGGGCCATGTGTATCTAGTAATGTACAGGACTCAAGTGCCCCTTCTGTATACCTGTATTTGTCAGGGGGTGGGGTGGGGTGGTGGTGGTGGTGGTGGTGGTGGTGGGGTGGGGGAAGATGCAGGAAGAGCATTCACCCACTGCAGTGAATGAAAGTAGGTGGAGGAAGGCTGGGAATGCTGATTGAAGACACAGTGGGCTGCACTGTGTGTCAGAGCACTGCTTTGTCCTCTGGGCCAGTAAGTGAGGGACCATCCCTAACTCCTCAGTCAGGATCAACCCAGCCTGTGAGAAGGAAGAGGAACCGGAAGTGTTCTTTTCCATGATCTTCCTTCCCTATGGATCAGGAAGGCAGTCTCCAAGTGGAAATCTAAGTAGGAGTCTATAAAGTAGAACAACCTTAGCTATCTTTCCTGCGTCATGGAATACAGATGTGCACTCATATACCAGAAGGGCTGTGGGTATGTGTTGAATGAAGATGCATATGTAGGATGTGGAACAGTTGTGACTTTATTAGGAAGTATCGTTCCCACTTCCTGAGCTTCATTATCTACCTTCATTTCTCCCATTGGCTGGGAGGGCTATCTGTTTTTATGAGCCCTCCTCCTGCTCAATGCCTTTCATCTACACTCCCTTCTCCCTCTCCTGCTCCAGTCTGAAAGATGGAAGATCTGCTGGTCATGTTCCATCTAAATCCTCTACATGCCTTGGGGCATGGCTCAAGGGGTAGAGTCGGAAACTCCAAGTTCCATCTCCAGGACTGCAAATATGAAAAATATGGTGTGTTGTGTATGTGTGTGTGTGTGTATGCGTGTGCGCGCGCGTACTCATGCACCTGTTGATATATTGATTTATATGTATGTATGTATGTATCACCTCTATATATGTGTCTATATAGAGAACTATATTTCTCTATATACATATATTGATCTGCATACATATACAGATCTAAATGTATATATCTATATACACATAGCTATCTATATATAGCTAGATAAGTATATAGATATATATGTATGTGTAGTTATATATGTATATATAGATATGTGTATATATGTCTCTATATGGATACTTATATATATTTATATATTAGCTACACATAGATATGTATATATATCCATACATAAATGTATCTATATCTATTTATATATAGATCTGTATTTCTATAAGTAGATATTTATATCTATATCAATATATAGGTATCTATTTACATCTATATCTAGATCTATTTATATCTAGATCTATTTATATCTATACCTAGATATCTATGTCTATATCTATATTGATATCTAAATATATATATTCATATAATATCTATATGCATGATAGTGGCTTAGATCGCTGTATAATATATAGAGATGTCTATAGCTTTAGATAGATATGTAGATAGATAGGTGGATAGATGGGTAGATATATACATATATTAGATACATATAGGGTAGCTATACCTCTTTCTTTCCCTGAAATAGTTTTGGCTTGCACTAATTATCTAGGGTATAATCATTTAACAGTGCCTATTTTCACTCAATATTCTCTCCCTCTTTGTGCTGGTACCAGGGCTTAAACTCAGGGCCTTGAGCTCTCATTTGGCTTTTTCGCCCAAGGCTGGTACTCTACCACTTGAACCACACTTCCATTGCTAGCTTTTTGCTGATTGATTGGAGCTAAGAGTCTCCCAGACTTTTCTGCCCAGGCTGCCTTTGAAGTAGGCTCTTCAGCCCTCAGCCCTTTGAGTAGCTAGGATTACATTCATGAGCCATGGTTGCTTGATTTCCATATTCTCTCAATGGGTACAATGACTTTCATGCTTTATCTGCTTTTCACTCCTCTGCTCATTTGTATTGCCAGCTCTTGGGGCGATGGTACATACTGTTTCCTAGCTGTTCCATGGCCCTGGTGGTAGCACTGTTCTTGGTGGCAGAGCTGAGTAAATGTGTTTGGGAGGAAATGCAGGACCTGGCAAATAAGTGGGCTCTGGGTGTGAAATAGCCCTTCCTGCTGCTCTGCGTGGGTGCTCTCAGGAAATGGTTTGGAACGATGAGGCTGGATGGTTTAATGGTAGGCTCACATTTGATTTTTACTGGCCATAAACTGTGATCAGTCGTCAGCTGAAAACCTGAGTGCAGTGAACCCCCCTTGCTATTGACAGCAGCTCTCGTGTAGTGAGGGCTACACGTGTCCTCGCCCTGTCTCACCCCTTTGCAGGTGCATCGGCTGCTCATGCTCACCACGTCTGCGCTCACCGCTGTCGCCTTTGTTTTGCCTTTTCTATATAGAGGAGGTTGGAGTTGGGTAAGTACACTTTTTTTCTTCTTCTGATACTGATGTTTGAACTCAGGGCCTTATATTCTTGGCTTGAACTCTGGCCCTGGATACTGTCCCTGAACTCTTCAGCTCAAGGCAAGCACTCTACCACTTAACCACAGCACCACTTCCAGTTTTGTGGTGGTTAATTGGAGATAGGAGTCTCACAGACTTTCCTGCCCAGGCTGGCTTTGAATTTTGTTCCTCAGATCTCAGCCTCCTGAGTAGCTGGGATTACAGGTGTGAGCCACCAGTGCCCAGCTTGCTTGGCTTTTTTGATCACAGCTAGTGCTCTATCATTTTTGGCTTTTTGTTGTTGTTGTTGTTGGTCATGGGGCTTGAACTCTGGACTTGGGAACTGTCCCTGAGCTCTTCAGCTCAAGGCTAGCACTCTACCACTTGAGCCACAGCACTACTTCTGGTTTTCTGGTGGTTAATTGGAGATAAGAAGCTCATGGTCTTTCCTTCCTGGGGCTGTCTTCAAACCATAATCCTCAGATCTCAGCCTCCTGAGTGGCTAAGATGGTGGTGTGAGCCACCAGTGCCTGACTTGTATATTAGTTTCAAATCAAGGGTTTAAGAGACTGAGATCGTTACAATAACTGTCTCTGTTCAGCATGCAGGTTACCACCCATACCTGGGCTGTACAGTGATGATTTTAGCAGTTCTTCAACCTCTTCTGGCAGCTTTCAGGCCACCTGTGCATCACCCAAGGTACTATTGCTTTTATGCAGAAATGCTCTTAGAGGAGAATACTCATTGGTTGGTAACTGTATCCCTTTTCCAAGGGAAATACTTTTTCACATCTTACAAACTAGTCTTAGAAATTGTATTTCCTTTGAAAGGCTTTGGAAATGTGTTTTGGAGATTCTATTCCCAGGCAATAGGGGAGATTTTTATTCCCGTGGGAACTAGTTGTCGCTTTACCACTTGTAGGAACACTGACTGGTTCTGTGTTTTGGTAGGAGGTGGATGTTTAACTGGACCCATTGGAGTGTGGGAACAGCTACGAGAATAATTGCAGGTAAGCAAGTGCAAGGCCACTTGTTCAGATCTAATTGCTGGGTGTTTATATCACCCAACTTGTAATTTGGCTTAAGTGATTTTTTTTTTAGATGCATTTGTAATGGCAATAATTGGTTGTTGAGGAGAAACCAGCCTTAAACAATGAAATCCAGAAAGTAATTTCTAGAGGTAACAAGTCATTATTGCCATTTGAAGTGTAGGGGGCTTAACAATGACTTAAAACTCTCTAAGACTTCTTTTTTTTAAGTTAAAAAAAATGATCTTGGGGCTGAGAATGTGGCTTAGAGGTAGAGTGCTTGCCTAACGTGCATGAAGCCCTGGGTTTGATTCCTTAGTACCACATATACAGAAAAGGCCAGAAGAGGTGCTGTGGATCAAGTGGTAGAGTGCTAGCCTTGAACAAAAGAAGCCCAGGGACAGTGCTCAGGCCCTGAGTTCAAGCCTCAGGACTGGGGAAAAAAAAATCTTTGCCAGAAGATGAAGCTATGTTGGTGGTTGTACATTTGAGCAACTCAAGTTCAGGGTCATTTTTTGTGAATTGGGTTGAGGTAGGCTGTTTCCGTCTAAGCCCTCCCTCTCCAGTTCATTTCTATAGAGTTTGCAGGAGGAAGGGTTTTCAAAGGCAGATGTGGTTATTGGATGCACTTAGTGGTCTCAGATAATAAAGGCCTAGACGAAAATCACCTGCTCTAACATACCAGCTATGAGATTTAGCACGCAGGAAGTATGGTCAGCTGTGTCTTCCGTACTTTTCTTCCTTCTGCCACTCACGCTCAAGAACTTTCTGGGGTGTTTGGGTGCCTAAATAACTGGCATATCATATTTCTTCAGAGGGGGGCATAAGACTAGAAAAAGAGCCTGGCTAGTCAATCAGGTCAAAGGTCCCCTCCCATAGAGGTTTAGCTCTGCGCCCCTGATAGGGCATTGAAGCAGTCCTGCAGGCAGGCCCCTAGACACCACGGCACTGTGGCCTTCATCAGTCTGCACTTGTGGGGCTCTGGGCATCCATCCCATCGTGGCTCATCAGCCCCAAACAACTTGTGTGGGAGCTGGGGGCTGACGGAAGCCCAGAGGTTCCAAGGATGCCTGGAGAGCCTGTGCAGGCTGTGTGGAGTCTCAAATTGGGTCTGGGACTGAGGTGGCCCACAGGCTGTCTGGTGGTCTTGAGTCATAGGACTCTCCTAGAGACCCGAACTGTCCCCATTCTCAGGCTGTGAGTTCTGCTTAGCTTTTCCTTCAATAACTCTGTTTAGCTTTCCTTTCTTCTCTGTGTCCATGGACTCTTTACAAAAGATCTGATCCAGGAATTGCAGTTTTTCAGTGTTAGTTATACTAAAATTAAATCTTTGCTAAAACTTAAAAAAGTGGGTATAATTATTATTTTTTAATCTTTCTCTATGTAGCACTACAGTATAAGACAATAATTAACTTTTGATTTTATTTGTTTATTTATTTATTTTGCTGGTCCTGGGGCTTGAACTCAGGGCCTACGCACTGTCCCTGAGCCTCTTTTTGCTCAAGGCTAGCACTCTACCACTTCAGCCACAGCGCCACTTCTGGTTCTTTTGAGTAGTTTATTGGAGAAAAGAGTCTCATGGGGACTTTTCTGCTCAGGCTGGCTTGGAACCATGATCCTCAGATCTCAGCCTCCTGAGTAGCTAGGTTTACAGGAATGAGCCACCAGTGCCTGGCTTAACTATTGGTTTTTAAATACTAATCCTACTCAGCTTGTCAATAAGAAATGTTTAAATATTAGGGGTTTTTCATTGTTCAATTTTTATTTTTCTGCCGGTCCTGGGGCTTGAACTCAGAGCCCGAGTACTGTCCCATAGCTTTTCCTGTTAAGGCTGGTTCTCTACCACTTGAGCCATACCTCAACTTCTGGGTTTTTGGTGGTTAGAGGGAGATAGGAGTCTCACAGACTTTCCTTCCCCAGGCTGGCTTGAACCATGATCCTCAGATCTCAGCTTCCCAAGTAGCTAGGATTACAGGTGTGAGCCCCTAGCCTCCAGCAAGTTTATTTTAATATAATGCACACAATGACTTCTTTTGGTGGGAATTATATTTGAATACATTTTTTTCTTTTATACTTAGTGGCAGCCATGTTCCTGGGAATGGATTTACCAGGCTTGGACCTTCCTGGTCCACAGAAAACCTACACAATGATTGGATTTGTGGGCTGGCACATTGGAACTGAAATCATCCTAGAGATACACGCTTACTGGCTCTCTCGAAAAGGTGACTTTTAGGAAAGCCGAGTGAAGCAGAATCATGTTCTCACCAACTGCTGGGGTTCAGTTAGTTTCCTGGTACTGGTAAGGGATCATTATGTGGTAGCTTCTTAGCTACCACGTGATTCCTTACCCTTCCCTTTCTTATCTCTTCCCTACTGACCCTCCCTCCCTCCCTCCTTTCCTTCAGGGCCTTATTTCCCACTTGCCTTTTTCAACTCAGGGCTGGTGCTCTACCACTTGAGCCACAGATACACTTCTGGCTTATTGTTCGCAAACTGGAGATAAGAGTATCACAGACTTTTCTGCCTTCACGGGCTTCTAACTGTGATCCTCAGTTCTCAGCCTCCTGAGGAGCTAGGATTACAGGCTAGCTATGCTATCAGTAGTATTGGGCTTTCTGAAAAACGTGTAAGGGAAAGGTCTCTGGTAGCACAGCTGAGACCATCTTGGTAAGTTCATGCACTCTGGGTGATGATCGGGTCAAGACCCAGCACACCCTGGGCACTTGGACAACTAGAGGAAGGAGAGATCCAGAGCCCTGGAATTTAGGTGATAATAGCTAGACAAGACCTACTTTGTCAGTGTTCTCTGGTTGGGTCTTAATGCCCAGCAGGGCCAAGATCTCTATAGCCACCACAGAGTGGGGAATGGAAGCCATTTTGAACTAGATGAGATCTCTATGTCCTATCTAGCCTTCAGCCTCCAAAAGTGTGACCTCAAAACAAGAAACTCTTGGTGTCTAGTCCATATGCCTGGGCAGTTGTTAGATGAGATTGGACAAGACCAAGTTGGTGTGGCTGTAGCCGAACAGCTTGTAGAGCCAACCACATGTCTGTCCTCCTACTCTGGCTTCTTCTTTTTTAAAATCTCGGTCTCATTTTGTATCCCAGACTGGCCTCAAATGTGAGATTGTTTGCCTCAGCCGCACTGGGACTACAGGTGTGTACTACCACTCCTTTGGTCCTTGGTAGGGTTATGTACTTGAGGTTTCGATGACACCCCGAATTTCAGCTGACAAATTAAAATATGTATATACATAGAACCTGGATTGTCATCACGTGTTAATTAGCTTGATTTAGCAACTTCACAACCTATTGAAATGTGATATTCCATAGACATATATAATTGGTAGTTGTTCATTAACAAAGGAAAATGAGAGGTTATTAGGATTTTGGTGTAGTGTCAATGGGTGGAGGAAGAGAACTGGTTTAAAAGACATTTTTTCATTGTAATTATAAAGGTGAGATACAGAGGGGTTACAGTTACATAAGTCAGGTGAAGAGTACGTTTCTTTTTGGACAATGTCACCCTTTCTAGCTCCCTCCCAGTTTTCCCCTCCCGTCCCCACCCACAAGTTGTATACTTCATTTTCAATACAGTGCCTGGCGACTACACTGCTACATTTGTTCACCCTTTGTCTCTCTGTTTCTGTCCCTGGAAGAGAGCTTTTAAGTTCTTTGAGACAGGTCCCAGTTTGCAAGAGCCTTAAATATTCCTGGGAATCAGTGAGCACTAGGAATCGGTTATTTTCCCCTAGTTTATGTACAAGTCTGTGTTCCTGCATAGCATGGTGTTTATAGGCTATGTTGTTCTTGACAGTGCAAATACTGGATGATGACAGAATTCAGATCCTTCAGTCTCTGACGTCAGTGGAGGCAGAGGTAAGTTCTTCATTGCTCGTCTGTTCCCATACAGCTAGCTTGGTGCTAGTCCTTGCTCTTATGCCTCAATTTTTCTTCCAGGGCCATGCTTTTAAAAAGGCTGTGTTGGCAATTTATGTCTGTGGGAACGTGACTTTTCTCATCATGTTCTTCTCTGCAATCAGCCGTCTCTAAGCAAGCCAAGACCTTGCTTTCTATGGACCAGGTGAAAATCATCCTCAAACCAAAGGAACTCAAGCTGATACTGCCTGCCTGCAGCAGAGCCCCCAACATCTGTTTTGGAAACCCAAGGATGCATCTGTAGGGAAGTTCTGAAGCCTGGTCTTCATAGAGCAAAGGCAAGAGGCCTGTGTAGACAGTACCTGATATTAAGTGCCTTGTGTGCAGTTCTGCATCTTAAAGCCTCATTGTACTTGAGGAGAAATGACTCCAGTATTCTATGTTGGAATTTTAAGAATGCTAGCATTGAAGAAAGTAAAACAAGAATAACTAGGAAATTGAAATATCATTAGGATAAAATGAAAGGCTATTAAGGCATATATATATATATGCGCAAATATATTTTTTACAAAGGTGATGTGGCACTTTAAAGAAAACACCTATTTTTCATGGCTTATCTGAAGTTTTCCCTCAGGCCCGGGGATATAGGTCAGCAGAAAACACTTGCCTAATAAGGCTGAGGCTCTGGCTTTGATCCTAAGGCTCCCGTCTCCCACAAAAAGTATGTTTTCCAGTTCAGTTTTGGGGATACTTTCTTTCCTTTTTGTATTTCAATTCTTCTCTAGTCAAAGATGGAGGAAGGGTTGACTTCATTGTAGATGTTTATTAATATTCATTTATAGAAATATTATACTTTCTTCATTAGCAATGAGATGCAAGTGGGCATCTCCTGCTTAAAGATACTATTTATTGTACTACACAGAGACAAAATGTCATTTTATCTGTTGTTTCAACTGTGAGAGTTAAGTCTTTATAGCATTGGGAAATTTGGACCTGAATTTCAAATGTAATGAATTCACCCATTTGAACGTATCAGTCTTCTCTTTCCTTACAGAAATAGTTATATGGGTGGAAAAAGCTTCCTGATGCTCTAATCAATATAGACAGTGTACTTCTGCAATAGTATATGGCCAGGTTTCATCTTTGCTATGAGGACATCTTGCCAGTGGGTGGTGCTAGGATACCAAAGTATTCACGTTGGTGTTTCCTTGGCTGTGATTCACCTTCAGTATTTATAACACTGCATGTTATTTCTTTATATTTTAAGAGCTCATCTTAATCTTTATGTGAAAATTTTGTGTCTTTTCTCTTTTGAGCTGGACGTAGAGGTGGTACAAATTCAATTTTTTTTTTTTTAGTGCTAGTCCTGGGGCTTGAACTCAGGGCCTTGGTGTACAACAGCACCACTTCCAGGTTTTTCTGTTTATGTGGTACTGAAGAATCGAGCCTAGGGCTTCTTGCATTCTAGGCAAGCACTCTACCACTAAGCCACATTCCCAGCCCTCAAGTGTTTTTATTTTATTGTTTTATTTTAGTGGTTTTTTTTTTTTTTTTTTTTTGTCAGTCGTGGGGCCTGAACTCTGGGCCTGGGTGCTGTCCCTCAGCTCTTCAGCTCAAGGCTAGCGCTCTACCACTTGAGCCACAGTACCACTTCCAGTTTTCTGGAAACCAGTCCGGACTGGCTTTGAACTGTGCTCCTCAGATTTTAGCCTCTTGAGTGGCTAGGATTACAGGCATGAGTCACCAGTATTTTAGATATTTTGCAATGCCAGAGATGAAAGCAGGTGCTAGCACATTCTAGACAAGAGCTCAGTCACTGAGCTATACTACCAGGCCTTGGTGTTTTGGAGGTAGGGTCTTGCTATATGTCCTAGGCTGGTAGTGAACTTCAGATTTTCCTGCCTTTCCCTCTCAAGGGCTGGGATTACTGACATGTGCCATCATGCTTAGTGTCTCGCATTATTCTCAATGGATAAAATCTTTTCAGTAAGACCAAATTATGACTCTTGTAAGTGGTTTGGTACCCACAAATTCCAAGTTCTTATTCTTCACTCCTCTCAGATTTTGTTCTTGTTTCTGTGATAAACAATCCAGTAGTTTCCTTTCTTCCCTTTTTCCTTCCTTTGCTCCCTCCCTTCTTTCCTCCTTTCCCCCCCTCCTTCTTTCCCTCTCTCCTTCCCTCCTTTCTCTTTCTGTTTTTTCTCTCTTCTTTCTTTCCCTCCCTCTCTCCCTTCTTTCCCTCCCTCCCTCCCTCCTTCCTTCCTTCCTTCCCTTCTCTCTCTCTCTTTCTCTCTCTCTCTCCCTTCCTTTCTTTCTTCCTTCCTTTCTTCCTTCCTTCCTTCCTTCCTTCCTTCCTTCCTTCCTTCCCTTCTCTCTCTCTCTTTCTCTCTCTCTCTCCCTTCCTTTCTTTCTTTCTCCCTTCCTTTCTTTCTTCCTTCCTTCCTTCCTTCCTTCCTTCCTTTCTTTCTTTCTTTCTTTCTTTCTTTCTTTCTTTCTTTCTTTCTTTCTTTCTTTCTTTCTTTCTTTCTTTCTTTCTCCCTTCCTTCCTTCCTTTCTTTCTTTCTTTCTTTCTTTCTTTCTTTCTTTCTTTCTTTCTTTCTTTCTTTCTTTCTTTCTTTCTTTCTTTCTTTCTTTCTTTCTTCCTTCCTTCCTTCCTTTCTTTCTTTCCATTATCAAAGCCTCAGTGTGCTTGGCAGGTAGGTGCTCTACCACTTGAGCTGTACCTTCAGTCCAGTCTGGGTCATTTATTTCTTTTTATAGGAGTGATTTTTTTTCAATGAAATGTCTTTCTGTGTTGTCAAAAGTAGTGAGTAGGCTCACAGTTTTCTTAAAGAAAGGATGCTTTAGAAAATAAGATTAAATATGTTTATTTTGAGGCATAAATCTTTTGGAAAAGGATGGTTAGGGTAGCATTCATAACAGACTTAAACAATTATTTACAGGTTTGTAGAAAGCAGTCTTAAAGGCCAGGTGGTCTAGAATCTGAATAAATGAATCACATACACTGCAGGACTTTTTTTTTTTTTTGGTGCCTATACTGTAGCTTAAACTCAGGGTCTTGACACTCCTGAGCTTTTTAAGCTCAGGGCTATTCCTCTCCCACTTTGAGCCACAGTACCACTTCCAGCTTTTTGGTAGTTAATTGGAGATAAGAGTCTCACAGACTTTTACTTCCCCGGGCAGACTCTGAACCGTGATGCTCAGATCTCAGCTTCCTGAGTAGCTAGGATGACAGGCGAACCACTGATGCTCAGGTTAGTACTTTTTGTTTTGTTTTGAATCAGGACTTTGGGCTGTCATGTGGTTAAGTTATTCCTCAGGCCTTCCTCCACAGGAAATGTCAAATACAGTAGATGCTGGCTGGAAAGCTGTGGGGTACATACAGGTAGCTCTCAGCAGACATTTTCTTTATTTATATATGCAGGGAGCAGGCAGGAGAGGTCCTTGTTCAGGATAATCCATTTTAGGTGTGAACGAGAGGTACTGAGTCCTGTGCAAAACAGTTGTCCTATTCCTACCCCCATCCTGCAACTTTCTTCCTTACCCATCCCCTATGTAGCTTCTCCCTGTACCATTCCCCTACGTGGAATGTTCTTTCTATTCTTATTCTAGCAGAACCTCATGGACAGAGTTCCCACTCAAATTCTTTCTTCTTTTTTGGAAGAAAGCTCTGTCCAACACCGCTCTCTTCCTGTCCTGGTCATCCTTTTCAATGGGAAGTGGCAGGAGGAGAGGCGGCTGATGGTATAAATGAGAAGGGATCAGAGACTGCGAGTGCTTGGGAGCCACATTGGCTTGCTGTGCGAGCTGCATGGTGGTCTGGTGAGCCCAGTCTGTTTCTTGGCAAAGCTCCATTCACGGAGCCCCATGAGGTGCAATAGCATAGTGTTGGTCCATGGTGCTGGCTTTGTGCAGGTCACCGATGCTATTGCCATTCTACCACAGTGTTACACTTTATTGCTTTTTACATATAAGATGTGTACTTTGTACTACCTGAAACCAATGGATGGTCGCAAACATGCCACATGAAGTAGGCCCAGACGCAAAAGGACCACTGCTGGATGATTGCAGTTCAATATGGCCGCCAGAGGTGTCCAATGAGTGGAAGCTAGCAAGTGGGGCGGTGGTCATCAGGGAGTGGCGTGGGAGGAGAGGGGCATGGGGGTTGGGAGGGAATGAATGCTGGGTTTGTTCTAGAGATGGGGGGGTTGAGGATGGTTGTGCAACACTGAGAATGTAAGAAAATGCACTGAACTAGATACTCAATCCTGGTGAATAATTGTAAGAATAAATAAATACTACATATGGCGAATAAATGCTTGTGGTGTTATTATTTGCAATAGCTGAAGGTAGTATCAACTCAAGTCAGTTAATGGGTGAATGGATTGTAGTATGCTCCCCACAGTGGAATATTATTACTCAGTTAAGAAAGTGATGACAGGGGCATGGAGCAAGATAGGTTGCATTCAAAATGGCAGCCCCTTTGTACAACTACTTAAAGGTAACAGTGGCAGGAAATTGTGAACCGGTTAAAATGGTTGTGTTAGCTTATGTAGAATTCACCTCAGTGGCAGAATATTTGTCTTGGTATTGCTTTTATTGCACCTTGGAGTGAAAAACATTTGGAAGGGTTTTTTTTTTTTTTGGGTCTGGTCGTGGGGCTTGAACTCTGGGCCTGGGTGCTGTCACTCAGCTCTTCAGCTCAAGGCTAGCGCTCTACCACTTGAGCCACAGCGCCACTTCCGGCTTTTTTTTTTCATTTTGCTTTATGTGGTGCTGAGGAATCAAACCCAGGGCCTCAAGCATGCAAGGCAAGTGCTCTACCACTGAGCCACCTTCCCAGCCCCTGGAAGGTTTTTGTTTTTTGTTGTTGTTGTTGGTCGTGGGGCTTGAACTCTGGGCCTGGGCGCTGTCCCTCAGCTCTTCAGCTCAAGGTGAGCGCTCTATCACTTGAGCCACAGCGCCACTTCCGGTTTTCTGGAGGTTAATGGGAAATAAGAGGCTCATGGGCTTTCCTGCCCAGGCTGGCTTTGAACCGTGATCCTCAGATCTCAGCCTCCTGAGTAGCTAGGATGACAGGCGTGAGCCACTGGCCCTGGCGACATTTGGAGGTTTTTTTTTGTTTTTATTTTTAGCAGTACGCAAAATGTAAGTTTTAAGAACTTAATATGTATGTAACTTAATATGTAAGCTTCACATATTAAGACATATTTGTCTTATTCTGTAAGCTGCCTGTCTAATGAATATTCCTGCTCCTGTTCTACCCCATTCCTTCTTCCCACTCTACCCCCCTTCTTCCCCTCAAGACCTTTCTATTAACCTCCTTTATTCTATCTCCCCTCTCTTCCCCTCCCCTCCCCCCACTCCCCTCTCCCTCTATTCTTTTTTCTCAATTACTATTATTATTATTATTACTATTATTTGCTTGGTATCAGTTTAACTTCTTATTTGGTCCTGTACTAATGATTATGGGGGAGGAGGGTCTTACAGTATATACTAAGAAGAATTATCTTTTATATGTGATCTCTTCTTCACATGTAAAAGATTACACCAAGCTATCTAAGGGTTCCCTTGGAGTACTTCAATAGATTTTTAGGTTTTCAGCCAAACACTCATATGGTGATTAATAAGAGTTTCCTGCAAACCATACATCTTAAGTTTCAATGTCCACTGCCAGTAAGTAACGTGTAAGCAAGATCTGTCACACCAGGCTGCCTCCTCTGCAAAACCACTGTGAACTTCAAAAATGCAGTTACGCAGAGGCCCTGGGCATGGGGAGGAGGAAGAACCTGGTGAGGAGACCATCTGGAGAGGAAGGAAGCTACTTGAAGCAAACTCCTTGATGTTGATTTTTAACCTCAGGGCTGTGGCAGTCAGTGCAGACCCCAGGTAGCAGGGAATCCAGTGGCAAAACTGAACATTTTCTGGTTTAAGAGATAAGAGGGCCAGGTACTGGTGGCTATGCCTGTAAGCCTAACTACTCAGGAGGCTGAGATCTGAGGATTGGGATTCAAAGACAGCTTGGGCAGGAAAGTTCTTGAGACTCTTCTCTCCAATGAATCAATAGAAAACGGGAAGTGGCGCTGTGGCTTAAAGTGGTAGAGTGCTAGCCTTGAGTGAAAAAGCTCAGGGACACTGCCCAGGTCCTGAGTTCAAGCCCCACAACTCACCAAAAAAAAAAAAAAAAGACCAGAGGACTGATGGTTAGTGCAGCGGCTGCTCCTAGAGGTAAGGTGGTATGATCCTGGAAACAAATGTTAGGAGGGGATTCTAAACCCTATTTGTCCATATCGTAGTTTGTCTCCTGGTCGCATGCATGGGTCTAATGAAAGAGCCCCGGGAAAGCCTACAGCTCATAGGATAGTTAGATGAGTTACTCAGTATGTCCCCCGTGGTCCGAAGCATGAGAAGAGCCAATGGTGTCTCTACTGTGCCCGAGCAGCATATCCAGGTTTTAGCAAGGACACTCGGGCAACGGCAAGGAAGTCCAAGTCATCCCGGTAGGAGAGAAAAAAGACTATCATCTGTCCAGACATACCATAATCCTCTACCTGGCAAGTCCTCAGGAATCTGCTAAAACCACTACTGAAAGAGGTTAAGGAGACCACAAGGATGTTTCTAAACATGGCCAGTGAACAATCAAAAATTGGAAACTAGGAAAATAGAATCTGATTCATCATAACCTTGAAAAATTATTACTATTTTGTTGTGTTCGTATTGGGGTTTAAATCCTGAGCCTTGAGTTTTGTGTTCTTGCTTAACTTTCTCTGCTTTACCTATTGAGCCACAGCTCCACTTTGAGCTTTTTGCTGGTTAATTGGAGATAAGCATCTCACAGACTTTCCTGCCTTGTAGCTTTGAACCTTGATCTTTGCATCTCAGCCTCTTAAGCATCTAGGATTACAGGTGTGAGCCACCAGTACCTGTCTATACCCGCAAGAGAATAGGTTTAATAAATACAAGGCTCTACATGGAAACTTACAAAAGACACTTATGAAACTTACAAAAGAGACACATTTTCCAGTGTTAGAACCTGCAGAACTTCAGCAACCAAGAGTGGGCTTTGCTGTGTTCCTTTCCAAAAGGGGAAAAGAGTCAGTGTGGCATGGCTTGATTAACCGTCCTGCAGCCTGGCCACCTAGTGGTAAGAACTTGCTCAGGGAAGAATGTGATGAAAATGGCATTTCCCCTCCATGGTCTTCCCCCAAACCATCACTGCACCCCAATCATGGGAAAAACACCAGAAAATACAGTAGCGCATACTCTACAGACCAACTGCTGAATTCCTTGCCAGCCACTTTCACCACTGTTGAGGTCATCAAACACACACACGCACACGCATGCACGCACGGGCACGCACACACACACAGAGGGCAAGTATGAACAATGATCACAACCAAGAGAGAGCTAAGGGAACAAGACAAGTAAAACCAACATGGCTGCCGCCATGGGATCTTGGAATAGAAAAGGACATCAGCTGAACACGAAGGACATCTGAGCACAGTGGGAATTTAGCTATGAGTGTTACTACTGCGCTGTTGTAAGAGACAGTAAGGTCATCACTTCTTATGTGAGCACAGCGGAAACAGGCGTGAGGTCCATGGTAACTGAATATTGTCTTTGCAATCTTTCTGTTAGTCTCAAAGTAGTTTTAAAAGCAAGATATAATTTGAAGACAGACATCTACTAAGCCTTTGATCTAGATGCTTATTCTAAACCTATGTCATTGTCACAGGAAGTGACTCTGTAGCTCAGCCACCTGCGTAGCTAGGATGACAGGTGTGAGACACTCACACTGGCCATTTCTTTTTTCCCTGTGCCATTCTTCTTGCCCCTGGGGTGATGTTTCAAATAAGCCATTGTATCCAGCCCTCATTGCTCGCTTGAGGTTGCAGGAAGTGGAGGGCGGCCACTCAGGTGGGTGGAGGCTGGCTCGTCTACTCCTAGCCAGATGCCTTAAACACTGTATGAGTGGATGTGGACAGGCTTCGTGGGGCAGTTTCTAGGACCCGCTTGTATTGAATATGGGGGTGACCTGCAGGCGAAAAGGGAAGAGGCGTTACTTAGTTGCCCCCATTTGACTGAGGTGGAGCCAATGCATTGTCATACCCTGACACGTGCTGTGGAGATGGCGGTTTTGGACAATGGCTTTTGAAACCTTGAAGTTAAAGGATTATGACAGAAAACCCGGCAGGCTCTGAGGCATGCTTGAAGAGCCCTATTTCCTGTAGCCATAAGGGCAGTGTGTGCTTCAAAGAAAGTCCATGCCGGACTCATAAAGCTGGCAGAGCCATGGAAGAATGTATGGGTGAAAGCCAGGGTCAGGAAAGGGTAGGTGTCCCCTGGCCCTTGGATTAGGGGTGTTTATTCAAAAGACCTCAGAAACGTAAACTTGCTGATTGCCCAGAACACTCCATGCCAGCAGAGGGCGCTCTCTCCTGGGTAATACAAACTAGCACGAATCTGGATGGAGGGCGGACAGTTAAGGCTAGGAATGAGAGAAGAGAATTTACTGACCCACGTATATGCTTCAAAGCAGGATTGATTTAAAATCTTGGCAAAGAACACAGGGATAATACGATATGCCTCCCTCCCCTATTTTTCTTATTGTGGTACTAGGGCCTCATGCTTGGTAGGCAAACAGTCTACCATAGGAATAACATGCTGTATGTATTCTTCTTAGTCCTTCCCCCACCCTGCCACCCCATCCCTTGTACTCGGTCTTGTACTTCCTTAGTTTGCTTGCTCACATGGTTCTCTACCACTTGAACCATGCCTCCAGCCCATTTTTTGCTAGTTATTTTGGAGATGAAATCTTATAAAAGTTTCTGCCTGGGCAGACCTTGGAACCATAAATCTCTGAATTTCAAATTCTCGAGTAGCTAGGATTCAAGTCAGAAAGTCACCAGTGTTCAACTCTTACTAGTTTTAATATAACCTAACTTGTCCCCATAGACCAGATTTGTGCTCTTAGAGAATGTCAGAATTTCTTAATCAGCTCCCTTCAGTCATAATGGGTCATGGGGTTCACACTGAGCTGAGTGAAAAAGAAGGGCGATAATCTGAGAAGAATAAATATGGCTGGTTCACCACTGGTCAGCACTGGGCAAGCTGGCAAGACAACACCAACCCGAATCTCCAAGTATGAGGTGAATGATTACATGCATCTTTTGGTTGAGTTTCTACCAAGTCAGTCTCACTCCCAGGTCTTTCACAAGTGGGCACACTTGCCTGACCTTTTACACAATTGCTTTGCAACGTGCGTACTTGTCAGAGGTGAAAATGAATATTTCTGTAATGAGGTATAAAGGTCTTTCCATCTTGATGGAAAGTTACGATGCCAGTTAATGTTACACAGACGAGATATTCTAAATAGCTTTATTCTTAAGTTTATCAAGCTCTTGGCAGAAATACTTTGGTATCAATGCAGCAAAAATAATGTTGGTCCCCCTCCCTCCCTCCCTACCTCGTCCTTTGCTGAATCATTGGAAAAGTTAAACGTTGATTTTTTTTTTCTCTAGGTTTCCTTCTTTGGAATTTTTCCACAAATAATGACTACCATTTATTCACATGGCTTAAAACGAGTATAATTATAATTATTTTTGAACATTAGGATAAAAGAAAAAGAAGCAAAAAAAAATCCAGAAGAGAAATCTGCCGACATTTCTTAGTTTCTTTCTCTGCAGGAAGTTTCCAGAGGTGGCACTGACTTTAGATCACTTTTTTCCCAAGCTTGGCCATTCTCATCCTTAACGCTGTAGATTAAAGAAAAACACAGGGTTATATATTTTAAAAAAGTCTTCATTGTTACTCTAAATGACTATTTCTTAGAAGGCAGGAAAGTTTAGAACATACCTCAGACGTTTTATCCGATCATGTAAGCATTGTGTGAGTAGCACAGAAAGACAGTAGAAATAATTAAGCTATGGTTAACTTAGGGCCGAAGCAGGTTCAGAACTAGAAGGAACCTATTTCTACAAAGATTAGCAGAATTAGTAGAGCAAGCACAGTACACATGGAATGAATACAGAATTAGCTCACACTCTTTCAACCAGACACAGACAGACATTTCTTAGGTCAATGGCTGTATTTTGTATATGTTCTTAGCGCAGTACTACTACAAAAAAGATATTAACATTTCAGTTATATTTAGGTTATTTTTGAGCTCATTAAAAGTGGTTGTCCAAGAGATGGGCACTGGTGGCTCCTGCCTGTAATCCTAGCTACTTAGGAAGCTGAGATCTAAGGACTGTAGTTCAAAGCCCACCTGGGCAGGAAAGTCCATGAGATGCTTATCTCTCATTAATGACCAAAATGCCTCAGAAGTGGAAGTATTAAGTGGTAGAGCAACATCAGGCAAGTGAGACTCTGGGCCACTGGTGGCTCATGCCTGTAACCCTAGCTACTTAGGAGTCTCAGATGTGAGGATTGAGGTTTGAAGCCAGCTGGGGGCAGAAGAGTCGGCAAGACTCTTTATCTCCAATTAAGCACCAAAAACAGCTGGAAGTGGAGCTGTGGCTCAGGTGGTAGAGAGCTAACCTTGAGCAAAAAAAGCTGAGGGATAGTGCCCAGGAACCGAGTTCAAGCCCTCGTACCAGCACACAGATAAAAAAATTGTGATAAAATAAATATGCCTACAAATCTGCTGCTGATAGGCTGGCTGTAGAAAGCATTTTTAGATTGCCAATTTGAATGTGTAACACCCTGTCTCAGGCCTTAATGTTTAAGACAGCAGGGTATAGATAGCTGCTTTGGTCACATTCAGAAGTGCAAGGCACTGATTTAATAATCACTTTAATGATGTCATGTTCCATTCCTGTATAATGGTCCAAGAACAAGCTATTTTTTTTTTTTTTTACTAAATGCATGATTTTGTTTAATGAAACAATAAGGCATATTTTCTCACTTCTCTACCATTTATTAGCTATCCATTAGCTAAAGAAATGACCCTATCTCTAAGAAGGCCTTTTGTATAAATAGAAGGAGGGAAGGAAGACCAATCTTGGAACACTCCTGTGATCCTATCATCCTTCCACTTGCATATAAAATACTTTCGTTTCACTGAAGTTAGAGGACATTATTTCCATTGCAACTTGACACTGAATGATCATTTCTTGTGACCGAGGCCAAGAATGGCCGCATCTGGATTTAGGATGGATGGAGAGAATCTCCTTTGCTCCGTGGCCCAGAGGCTGTGGTTTTGCCCAGCAGGAGAGTGACAGAGGAAGGGACATGGAGGCTTCATCAACCTTCCACTCTTGGCTTTTATGGACCTCCACATCACCAGTGGCAAAACTGAGCACAGTCAGGGCCTTTGGAAAGGTCTCTTTTAAGGCGGAGCAAAATCCCTTTTTCCCAATTACTCTTCACCTTGTGATTCTGTGAATCAGGTACACCTCTGTGTATCTGGACATTTGGTAAAGTTTGTTAGTCAGCATTCCTGTCTCTCCTTCCTTCAAGCCAATGGCAGGTGGAGATGGTATGGATTCCCAGGAAAGCAGCTGGCAATGGTGCAGCAGCTAACAAGCCCCGCCTTCTGTCCCCATAGCAACTGGGGCACCTTAGAGGAAGAGAGCTTCTGTCCTTTCTCTCCTTCCTGGATTCCATTGGCTGCCACAAGGCTGCCAATTCCAGAATGAAAAGCTGAGGCTTCCCATCTTTATCTTGGAATCCCATTCCTGTCTCTCAAAGGGCAGCATGGAGCTAGAACTGCTATTGACAGGGGGCTGCCAGCTGTGTGGCTGGGAGGTAGTGGGGGTCCCAGGAAAAACTTTCTGGGGGTCATACAATGGCAGACATGTCTGGGCATTGAGCTGTATATTCGTCTGTAGCTATGCTATCATTACATGAGCACAAGGCATGACATTGTCTCAAATTGTGTGTGCGTGTGTGTGCGTGCGTGTGTGTGTGTGTGTGTGTGTGTGTGTGTGTGTGTGTGTGTGTGTGTGTGATGGTTTACCTTGACCTAAAATTGAACTAGAAAATTTTTGTCTTCAGAAAAATCAAGTGTCCACAGTCCTATACTTTTTCTTGCATGCAGCTTGCCAAATTAAAAAAAATCACTTTATTTAATTAGTGTTAGTACTAAGGATTAACTCAAGGTCTTGGGTTTACTCATGGCTGGTGCTCTACTGCTTGAGCCACATCTTCACTTCCCAACTTTTTGCTGGTTAGCTGGAGATTAGAGTCTCTGGCTGACTTGGAACCTCGATCCTCAGATCTCAGCCTCCTGAGTAGCCAGGATTACAGGTGTGAGTCACTGGTATACAACCAAAACATTGCCTTTTAGATAAGGTTTTTGCAAGTATATTTATACCAAGGGAAAAGAAACGAAAAAGTTTAAATTATTATGCCTGCTGGGACTATTTCTATTTGATAGGAGACCTATTCTATAAATAGAAGAATTGAATTAAATGGTGGCTTTTCCAGTATCAGAAGCATTCTCAGAGGGCTGTGGTAAGATCTGTGCATGTGGAATGAAAATACCCTGAGAGCTGTGTCTTCTGTACATATGGAGACCCTCTTCCCCCCAGGATAGGAGACTGTACCGTTTATGTATTTTAAAAACTCATTTCAATTTATCAGCTCTGAAATACGTGTTCTGAGTTGGAAAACAGGGATGTAAAACAATGCCACCATGGAATGTAGAGCATTCTGTTTGTACTGGACTTAGATTGATAGCACAGAACTGTGTATTGTTACTTTGTCTCCAATAGGTTTTCCTGTTTTCACTATTCTACTTCAGTCCCAGTGGTTAGTGTTGTCTGGAAATGTTAGTCACTTCCGGCCATTTTTCTTGAGGGTAAATGTGTTAACATGGTTTGGGGCTGCTTGAGAGGAGCTGGCTAGTACCCACACTTAAAAAGGGAGATTATTATAATTATTAATAATAATTATTATTTGTGGATAATGTCATGGCTGTTGGCCATATTGACTGTGTTTTCTTTGGTGGAAGTCTCCTGTATTGTTTTAAAAATGAATTTAAGATGCAAAATATGATCAGCAAACAAAGCTCCTTCTCAAAACAGAAAGAAATTTAGTATTCTTTGGTTTCCATGGTCATTTCCAATGAATGAGGAAGATAATCAAGGTGGACACATCTCCCAAGATTACAAATGCTTCAGATTCCTAATTTTCAAATTCTAACACCTAATTTAACTCCTGTAAAGAATGAGAGAGGACTCCTTTTTATTGTATTATTAGCAACCCCAGATTGGCTTTAGGGTTTATTGATGAAGAACTACTTTGAATTATTAAGACACTGACATTCTTCTATAACAGGTCTATTTCGGACTAGCTAGTACTTAATATTTATTGCTGTTTGATGAGACTTCTTTAATTAGAGGCATTTAAAATTACTATCCCTTTCTAACATCCCAGTACCTGTAAGTTTGATTTACATTTTCAGTTGTGATGAACACAGATATTCTAATTGATGTGGTCAGGTTCTTGTTTGTTTGTTTTCTCTAAATGATAGTAGAATGTGATATTTCAGTGATATTAAGGAATCTAAAATTGAAGAGCTATCAAGTTGGCAGGAAAAATATTCAAATTATATTTCATTCAATGTCAAGATAATTAAATAGCTACAAAGCTATAGAAACTTCATAGAGAATGGGAAATGCAAATAATAAAAAAGAAGAAAAAATATGCTAAGTTAGAGAAGACTAAAGTAAAATGTTATAGGTAGCTGATGTAAGAGAAATGGACTTTCTGTTTCAAAAATGTAGACATATTAAGGAAATAATATTAGTAAGACTATAAAAAGTACAGAGAAACAAGATAGTACAGAGAAGTAGCAAAATACTCTGAAAATATTTTCCCACCTTGTATTTTCTTGCAAAATTAAGGCAAATTGTTAACTTATGTAGAGAGTTCAAATCATGTCGAGGCACAAACAAGAAATTGTCATCCAGTTCTGCTGGGGAAAGATGTGTCACCAGTGACCTAACTTAACAGCAACTCAGCACACATTCACACACAGAATTAAGCCATAACAGACAACTTTCAAGTTACTACGCAACCAACCCAACTTCCAAATAAGGCAACAGTTCTTTCTGCTTTCTTTATCTTTGGAAGTGACTTAAGCCGTTTACCGTGGTGATTATAGTTCAGATCAGCATGAATAGAGGCTGTCTGTGTGTATTAGTCTATGAGGTTGACCAAAGAAGCTAAGAGAGAGAGAGAAAGAGAGAAAGAGAGAGGGTTGGGTAACACAGAGAGACTGTCACATGACGGTCACATGACTAGACATTGGTCACATGACTAGACAGCAATGGCAGACCTTGTTATTTTTATTACCTGTTAAAGATGGATCCTCTGTCCCATCTCCCACGATAGAAACATCAGGAGGGGACTGGCGGACAGGACTGCCCAGCCTCTCTTCTTGCTCTTTCAGAGAGATGGAATTTTTGTGGGGAGATTTGTGGTGTGTGTTGTTCTCCTGAGGACTCACTTCAGATCTCTTTCTTGGAAGTGGTGTTGGTTTGGCTGGCTGGTAAACTTGACTACAGGGAGCTATGGGATGGTAGGAAGGCTGCTCCTCTTCTCCATCCTCTTCTTCCTCCCCCTCATCATCAATCACCACCAGCTCCGCATGGATGATTCCATCATACCCACTCAGAAGCTTCTTTCCTTCTTCATTGTCTTCAGCCTGCTGATAGCCCATGAAAATCATTGTAACCGGCTCGCTGTCTTCCATGTCCGAAGGCAGCGAGTGGACAATGTTATACCTGACATCTTCTTCCTCCTCTTCCTGGCAAATGGGCGAAGAACTCTGGGGTTCTGACTGCCCAACTCTTGCTTTGCTGGGGCTCAGCTTGGTTCTTGGGGAAGGTAAATGCTTGTCCTGGATCATGTTTGCTTCCTCCCAAGGAGACATCAGCCTCTTGGGTGGGGTGTGGGTTGTCTCTTCTGCTTCTTGTGTCATTGATCGAGGGTGAGGTGTTGGTCTCCCTGGGCTGAGATGATGGAAATCATTGCTTCTTTTCTCACAAAGGCCATTTTCCATCGTGTGTGTGTGTTCATTTGCCTCATGCGCCAGTCCGTTGGCTTTCATCTTTGTCCTTTCTTGGAAGTTTGGTCCAGGGGATCCCTTTTCTTTCTGTGGGGTTGTTGGCCTGCAAAATGGGTTGGCATAGACAGGCTCGTGGTACTCAGTTGGTGATTTTGAGTTTCTCTCTGAGGCTTGTCTTAAAAGTTCCTCCACTTCTACTGGGGCCAGGCCGTCTGTGCCATTGTGAGCTTCGCTGGGATTTGTGCCTACTGCATAGACCGACTTCTGCCCGTCATCATACACTTTGATGCCCGTGCCTTTAAAATCATCAGATGGGAGGGGTATGGAAGACAGAACAGTACTTTCTCCAGTCTTTAAATCTTTCTCGACTTTGATTTCCATGGCGTACAAAGCTGTTAAGAGAGAAATTCCATCTTTGGCTTAATGATATAACATTTTCTTTTATGAACTAGCTTACTTCTACAGTGCTTATTTTTATCGTTTTTGATGATCTTTTATGTGCCCCTTTCCCTCTCCCCTTATTCTCTTTTCCCCCCAAATACTGGGATTTGAACTTGGAACTTTGTTCTTGTTAGAAGGATGCTCTACTGGTTTAGCCATGCCTCCAATCCTTTCCACTTTTGCTATTTTTTTTTTTTTTTTGTCGGTCGTGGGGCTTGAACTCTGGGCTTGGGGCCTGTCCCTCAGCTCTTCAGCTCAAGGCGAGCACTCCACCACTTGAGCCACAGTGCCACTTCCGGTTTTCTAGTGCTTTATTGGAGATAAGAGTCTCACGGACTTTCCTGCCCAGGCTGGCTTTGAACCTTGATCCCCAGATCTCAGCCTCCTAAGTAGCTAGGATTACAGGTGTGAGCCATTGGCGCCCTGCTTACTTTTGCTATTTTTTAAAAAAGGATCTTCTATTTATGTTATGGAAGCCAACCTGGTCCTCACTCCTACTATTTGCTTTCCACGAACTGTTGGGATGTCAGGTGTGTCTTACCTTGCCCAGCTTTTTGTTGGTTGAGATGGGAAGGCTGGTCACATGAGTTCATGAACTGGCCTCACACCTTGCCTGAACTAGCCTCACACCTCGATTCTCCAGGTCTCATCTTCCTGAATAGTATTACAGTCATGAGCTGCTTGAGTGCCAGGCACAAGTGGCCTTTTTAACATCCTGATTTTATTCATTCATTCTATAATGATCCATATTATAATAAATTATTTTCTAGGTTAAAAGTGTATTAAATTTTGGGGAAAAAATGGGCGGCCTGCAGAAGAGAAACCAGATGCATCCAAACCCTCTTTCCAATGAATAAACTCAACTTTGTCTAAGTGTTTTCCCTACTATACTGCACAGAGTTTTCCTAACCAAAGAAGCGATAGGTCCCTCCTGATGTGTAATATAGAAGCAGTAGGGATACGATGTTACGGCAAGCTGCGAATAACTGACACTATAAAACATGAAACCTAGAAGCTGGCATTGAGCACAACTGGTTATTTACCTTTTCGGTTTTGTTCGTCATCCTCTATGCCTTCACTTCTTTCTTTCCTTAATCTGGAAGGTATGTAGGATTTTGGAAGGTCAGGGATATTAGCATAGATGTCCTCAATTGACTCTGTGAAAGTTGATGTAAGTTCAAAATACGTTTAGCTTTTTAAAAAAAATAATAATGTAAAAATTTCTGTGAATTTATGAAAAAAATATTCTAGTTAGACGTGAACTAGGTTGACCGGAAACATACCTCCTGGTGTTTCTTCTTTCTCCACCTTTACAGACTGTAAGGAAAAATGCATTCTCCATGATTAATTCAGTTTCAAAAATAAAAGCTACATGTGGAAACAATTTTGGGAAAAATTATGTATTACTTGTGGATTTATTTGGGAAGGTATCATAGTTTTAAAATCAAGCTGTGAGTTTGTGGCTCAGGCCTGTGATTGAAGGATTTCAGTTTGAAGCCAGCACAGGCAGGAAAGTCTGTGAGACTCTTTAAAAAAATTACTTTGTCGGCCATGGGGCTTGAATTCAGGGCCTTTGTGCTGTCCCTGAGCCTCTTCGTTCAAGGCTAGTGCTCTACCACTTTGAGCCACGGTACTTCCCAGTTTTCTGGAGGTTAATTGGAGATAAGAATTTCACAAGTTTCCTGCTTGGGCTGGCTTCGAACCATGATCCTCAGATCTCAGTCTCCTGAGTAGTTAGGATTACAGGTGTGAGCCACTGGCACCCACTTCAGTGAGATGCTTATTTCCAATTAATCACAGAAAAAAGCCGGAAGTGGTGCTGTAGCTCTAGTGGTAGAGCACCAGCTTTTAGCAAAGCGAGCTCAGGGACAGAAGCCAAGCCCAGAGTTCAAGCCCCAGGACTGGCAAAAAAAAAAAAAAATAAAGTCATGACTCACTCTTATGATGTCTTCTGTTGTTCGTTCTATTGATTTTAGTTTCTTTAAAATTGCTTCTTCATTGGTTGAGATTTGCAGTTCAGCCCTTTCAAGATCTTGAATCTCTTTCTCAAGTCTGAAACATCAAAAAAAGTGTTATTAACAAGGTTTTTCTTTATTGTTGTTAATGTACTATGTGAAGTTATTTCTTTTTTCTTGCGTTTTTCTTTCTTTTTTCCCATATGGTTTATCTGTATTTCACTTTGGTACCCTATATATTGTATATACATTTTTATGAATTAGGGAAGGGAAGGGAACCACAAAATGGTGAGACAAGGGCTGGGAAGGTGGCTCAGTGGTAGAGCGCTTGCCTTGCATGCATGAGGCCCTGGGTTTGATTCCTCAGCACCACATAAGCAAAAAGAAAAAAGCCGGAAGTGGTGCTGTGGCTCAAGTGGTAGAGCGCTAGCCTTGAGCTGAAGGGCTGAGGGACAGCGCCCAGGCCCAGAGTACAGGCCCCACGACTGGACCCAAAAAAAAAAAAAATGGTGAGACAAAGGACAAAAGGTGAACCAATGCAACAGTGATACTCACAAGACACTATGTTGGAAATGAACTTTACAGCTTGGGGAGTTGAGAGGAGGGAAAATGGGAGAAAAATGAGGGAAGGGGTAACAATGTTCGACAAGAACTGTATTCACTACCTTAGGTATGTAACTGTAATCCCTCTCTGTACATCACCTTGACAATAAAATTAATTAAAAATTGCCTAATATGGTGTGTATACAGAATTCTCATGTGTTTCATCTCCATATTAGAACTCCCCTTAGATATTTCACATCAGCTCGCAGCTATAATCTTAGCTACACAGGAGATTGAAATAGGAGGATTGTGGATTGAAGCCCGAATGGGTAGTTAAATATGAGAAACTTTTCCATCAACAAGCTGGGAAGTGAAGGTATGGCTCAAGTGGTAGATTGCTAGTCTTGAGTGAAAAAAACCTAAGCAACAGGACTTGTGTTTTAAGCCCCAATATCAGCAAAAATAAAAATAAAAAATGAATGTCAGTAGTGTCACACTTAGCATCAAGAGGGTAGAGATCATAATGACATCTCTTGGTGTTCATGAGTCCAACATGCAGATCTATCTGTCTATCTATCTATCTATCTATCTATCTATCTATCTATCTATCTATCTATCTATCTATCTATCTATCTATCTATCTATCTCTATATATCTGTTATCAACTCACTTAATACATAAATGATACTTGGAAAAATTTTGAGTTCAAATAATTAAAAATCTTTTTTTAGGTGTAGGGACTTCTTAGATAAATTCTTTGACCATTGTAATATTTTCTTTACTGCAGTTACTAATGTTAATTTCCAGTGATAATTTCTTTTATTAAGAGACTTCAAGTTTAAACATCTACCAAAAGACATGGTATATTTGTAATTCTGTGGTCACTCACTATGTCTCTCACTCTAGTCTCTCTATAAAGTATTTGAAAAAGAAATTACAATTATCCAACTTGATTTCATAATCCTAGTTATTTCATATGTAAACTCTGAATGTATCCTAATATTAGAAATGACACTGTTTCAAGATGAAAAGATGGGAACTGACCCAAATCCAGTTCAATTGTTACAGAAATGTATTTTTTTTGGGGGGGCAGTGAATGGAAAGTGGCATAAATGTGGCCTGACAATGTATTAGGAAAGAGACAGATTGAAACTGGACTGTTGTCACCATTTGGAGCTGGTAACTAGGGTAAAGTGGCATATCAGATCCAAATGAACTCTAGGGGATGCCATCGAGACCCTATTCTGTATATAATTTCTTGGCTTCCTTCTTGAAGATGGTCATGGGCCTGGCAATTCCAGGATCCTGGACTATTGTAAAAGCCTATCACATGATCTATTTGGCCATTCCACTCATTGCTTCATCTCCAGAGTTCTGCTGCACTTTCTGGCCAATTATAGCCTCGAGGTGTGTAGGTGTGTGTGTGTGTGTGTGTATGTGTGTGTGTGTGTGTGTGTGTGTGTGTGTGTGTGTATGTGTGTATGTACTGGGGCTTGAACTCAGGGCTTGGTGCTGTCCCTTAGCGTTTTCATTCAAGACTAGCGCTGTACCACTTGAGCCACAGCTTCACTTTGGCTTTTGGTTGGTTCATTGGAGATAAGTCTCATAGACTTTCCTGCCCAAGCTGGCTTCCAACTGTGATCCTCAGATCTCGACCTCACAGTAGCTAAGATTATAGGCGTGAGCTAATGGCATCCAGCTTGGGAAGTGTTTTGTTTTGATTTAAATTTAAACTTCTTTTAGAGGTCTAGGTGGCTCACTCTCTAACCTTCACCTGACTACTTTTCAGCTGATGCCTGAACATTTTCTAAAGTGCTGCCCTTCCCAGCTTTGGGAAGGATAACCTTTCAGAGTGGGAATTGAGCTCTTTGAAGTGCTGATTCAGTCTGATGAGAAGCCTGCAGCAGAGAAAAGAGAGATAGATCTCTTTCGGGATGAGTTAGTGCCACTCACAGTTTCTAAGAGATGGCTGAGAGGCCTCCTAACGCAATGTGGATAAGCAGAGGACAGGAAGAAAGATTTGTGATGCTACCCATGATTGGCATCTTTCTTCTCCTTGCCTATTTGCTGGGGAAAAGGAGGGTTATTTTCTAGCATTCCCTAGCTTTCGTTCCATGCCTTGTGATATTAACAAGCTACCTTAGACAATACAAGGTAATATCCTCAGTCCAATTCCAATTTTGCCATTTCTTTTTTGTCTTAGAGAAAAGGACAGCAGCATATTCATGCTGGATGTGTTAGGAAGAAGTTATTTCAGAAGACAAAATGTCCATTGATCTCAGTTTTGGTGGAGTTTGTCACGAGGGGTCAAACAGGGCAGAACTCATGGGGAGGAAGGAGGAACCACAGAATCACTAACGATGCAAAAGTTTGAACCCTACCCTTCAATTTTGGCTACAGCAATGATCAACACGCATTGCATGGTGACATTACACCACACACTGGCCTACTTTGCAACTATTTACAATCACCATCATATCTGACAGAAGCAAGTTGGGAGCCTAGACAGGCAGCCATCCCTGATCTCTTGGGCAGCCTGGGGCAGGGGAGGATTTGAAGACAGACCTCACAAGATCTGAGGTCTTAATCCTGCCCCATAAGCCACTGTGCAAACAAAGTTTAACTTTTCAAGTTGGTTCTTAGGAACAGGAGTATAAAAGGATGCCTTACTTTTCATGATAGTAACATGAGCAGTAAGGAAAGTACTGAGACCTGTTATCCCAGGGTAATCTTTCTGTCCTAAACTACATTTTGTTTTGAGGGGCTGGACATTTTTTGGTCTGGGAGCCAGGCAATTTAATCAGGATTACATTTCTTTTCTAGATGCCTAACTTTGGTTCTAATTTTTATTATTTCCTTTATTTAATTTCTATTTCCTCCTCTGCTTCCCCCCCCCTTTCTCCTTCCTCTTTCTTCTTCTATTTTGTGTCCATAACTAGGGCTTGATCTCAGGGGTCTGACCATTATATTTCTGCACAATGCTGGCATTCAGCCACTGGAACCACAGCTAAACTTCATGGCTTTTTGCTGGCTAATCGGAGACATTACTGCCATGGCTGGCATCAAACTATGATTCTCAGATCTCAGCCTCCTGAGTAGCTAGGATTACAGATGTGAGGCACTAGTGCTAACTCTCTATCTATCTATCTATCTATCTATCTATCTATCTATCTATTAATTAGACTGAGGTTTGAACTCAGGGCCTTGTACTCTTGCTTGACTGTTTCTGCTTAAAGCTGGTGTTCTACCACTTAACCACCACTTCCATTTCTGGCTTTGTTTTTGCTGTTATTTGGAGATAAGAGTTTCTCAGATCTGTCTGCCTTGCCTGGCTTTGGACCACAATCCTCAGATCTCATCCTCCTGAGTAGCTGGAATTACAGGTGTGAGTCACCAGCACTTGGCTGGTTCTTTGGTTCTTTGTTGACCACTGTTTTCTTTTGTGGGGAGGAGGGTGGGGCTTGGATACAAGCCAAATTCTGGAATTGTGTCTTAATATATCTAGCTGGCTATCACAGTTTGACTTTTTTTTTTTTTGCCAGTCTTGGGGGTGGGCCTGGGCACTGTCCCTGAGCTTCTTTTGCTCAAAGCTAGCACTCTATCACTTGAGCCACAGCGCCACTTCCAGCTTTATCTGTTTACGTAGTACTAAGGAATCAAAGCCAGGGTTTCATGCATGCTAGGCAAGCACTCTACCACTAAGCCACATTCCCAGCCCTACAATTTGGTTTTAATACTGCAATTTGAAAACCTCCAATAAATTATGTTTATGACCAGCTTTTCACTGTGCACATACTTTGGAAGGCCTGATGACTTACATCTCTGTAGCTCTTGCCTTCCTATGAAAAAGCCAGGATTGTACCCCAAGAGAGCACCAGGGCCCGTTTCTCTGGATAGCCTGAGTCAGGTGTTAGGTTGGGGAGGAGCTATGAGGACATACCTTGGAGACCAGTTGCGAGGTTCTAGAATCACCACCCTCCCTCTTTCTTCAAGCTACACAAAGAAGGCCCCAATTTTGAGGCACAAAAGCTGTCAGAAGGTTGCTGCCTTCAGCTCATGTTGTGGAGAGTGGCATGCAATTCTGTCTCTCTTTTTTCTTAGGGATAGAGATTGCCTTTCCTTTCTTCTTCATCAAATCTTGAAACAGCTAGAAGTAACTGACAGGTTTCTGCATTTTATGAGATTTCCTCTGAAGGAGGTCCTCCCCCCACTCCCTCCCCCGACTCCCCATTTTTTTGTGCTGGTAGTGGAGCTTGAACTCAAGGCCTAGGCACTGTCCTTGAGCTTTTTTTTTTTTTTAAAAACTCAAGTTTGATGTTCTACCACTTGAACCATACCTCTACTTCTAGCTTTTTTGGTGGCTAATTGGAAATAAAAGTCTCATGGACTTCGCTGCCCTGGTTTTGAACCTCCATCCTCAGATCTAAGTGGCTAGGATTACAGATGTGAGTCACTTGTGCCCGGCTAAGAAGCACATTTTAAAGCAAAAGAGTTTCTTCCAGCCCTACTAGAAAACAGAAAATGAGCCCCTAGCAAAGCCAACACAATTGGCTT